ATATATATATATATATATCATAGTAAAAGAATACTAATGTAGGATATACTTGTTTGGAAATCATTCCAACTCTGGGTTGAGGTAGGTGTCAAGAACTGGAACCCAAACTGTTGAGTCAGCAGAAGCATCTCTTGGATAGCTGAAAGTTGAATTGAGCCAGAGAATCCAGTGCCCCAACAACATATAGTATCTATTCTGGACCATATTCTCTCACTTCCTTATAAATGTGCAAGGAATCCAGAGTAACATTCTCCCATGACAACCTTTCCCTTAGTCATATTGGTGACTAGGTTGCATTTGTTTACTATCTTTGTCCCTACTGAATTATAAACTCCAGGATAACGGAAAACCACATCTATTATGTTCTCTCAAAGTATGCTCAGTACCTGGTATTAGGTATACAAATATTTGAAGAATGAATGAACTGGAAGATAATGAATCAATGGATGAATAAAGTTGAATCAGATTGTCAGGTCTTTAAAGAGCAGAGACTAAGATTCCAAGAAGGGAGAGTGAATTAAATGCAGGGAGGTAGAAAAGGAATATGGGTATGAGGGGGTAGAGCATGGGAAATGGAAAATAGAGCCATTTATAAGTTGAATAACAGATGGAGGGCTGAGAGGCACCCAAACCATAGGAAAATGAGGAGTATCTAGATAAAGAGATGAACACTTTTTTCTCCCAGTCATGCATCTGTCCATAAATATGATTTATTGTACATTTCACATTGTGTTTTCACATTGTAAGTTAAATTATTTTCCACCTTTCATTAAGGTTTTTTTAGGGTTTTTTTTTTATTGTGGTAAAAATACATACACATTTTACATTTTAAAGTGTACAGTTCAGTGGCATTAAGTACAGTCACAATATTGTGCAATCACTAGCATCGTCCATTTCCAGAACTTTACCAAGGCAATAGTAGAAAGGTTTATAGTTTAGAAAGGTTAATAGTTACAAGTATGTAGGCTGGATTTCACTGATGAGCTAGGATCTGAAATTAAATGACAGAAAATTCAACTTGACACTAAGTCCCAGAAGCCAAGCTCATTTCCCCTACTCTGTCTTCAACTTGCAGGCCTAAGATGGCATTAAAGTTAAAGGATTGAGAGCTCTCTCCAAGCATAGTTCAGTTTATTATAGAGTTGAAAAATAAAAGTATAGGCCCTTGATTAGGGGAGATCCTGGTTTCCCCTTCTCAGCCCATGAAGGAGCTGTTGCTTACAGTAGAACCAAGCTTCTGGAAGGGAGAGAGCAGTGTGGCAGAGGGTGTGTGTGTGTGTGTGTGTGTGTGTGTGTGCAGTATGCTAACAGGAGACTTGAGGGTAAGAAATCTAGAGGCTGTCTTTGGTTCTGTTTTTAGGTTTTTTTTCATTTAACTTTGACCCAAGTTCCTTAATTTATGAAATGAGGGTTTTCCACTTGACAGTCTTTGAAGTCTCTTTCAATTTTAATATCTAGGTTTACAGTAAGAACATAGCTTTTCTTTTTGGTTCCAGAGTTTCCTGCAGACTTGTGGTCTTACTGAAGGCTCTCTTGAAACTGATATGTGATGTAGCAAGGGATCCAAACCTTACACCTGAGTCTGTTAAGAGTGCCCTGCTACAGGAGGCCACAGACTGCCTCATTCTCCTGGACCACTGCTCTCAAGGACGGGTAAAGGTAAGGCAGACTGAAACTTGGTTTCAGTTGGGCCTCATTATCTTTATGTAATTCCTATGACTGATTGTAATTTACCATGTATGTGCCTGACCAAGTCTGGAAATGAAGGGTTTTAGGTCTCCATATGAGCCCTCTAGCCTCAAAAGAGCTTAATCTTTTTTCTTATTCATCTTTTAAAGCTATTCAGAACCATTTAGAACTAAAAGCAGGAGGATCAGCACATGTCACCAGGGCTAAGGACAAGACAGAATGGGCAAAAGCATTGTGATCAAAAGTTTGTAAAATTTAACTTCTGTTCTAGTCTTCTGAATTAAAAAAAAAAAAAAAGTAAAAATAATGGGCTATAAGCTCCCAGGAATAATATAAATAGAGCATTTCAGATGTTTCCAGTTTTTTAGGGACAACCACCGTTTAGGTAGATGTTTTTCCCTATTCTTTTTTTTTTTTTTTTTTTT